GGGACAAGGGGGAAAACAGGGCATTACTATTAGCAGACATAAGGTAAAGGGGGACACGGGAAAGGCACTATATACAGAGAAGACAAGTAGTGACTCTATAGCATCTTACTATGCTGATAGACAGTGACTGTAATGGGGTATGTGGGGGGGACTTGATAATGGGGGGAATCTAGTAACCATAATGTTCAAGTAATTGTACATTAACGATATCAAAAGAAAAACAAAGTGGAATACAGATGCTGAAAAGCACACAGAGAAGCGCAGCTCAGTGACTCGTCGTAGAGCCATCACATGACCACCCCGGATGGCCTCCCATCTCAACCAAAGTTCCTACGCTGCTCACTCCACAAGCAACCACTACACTTTTATAACAATGACTTCTTTGCATTTTGTTGTTTCATCACCCGAACGTACCTCTCCAGAAACTACTATTGATTCTTGCTTGGTTTTTAAAACCTGGCTGATCTGTGGTGTCTCTCTTAGTTACGGGTCCCCCTCACAGTTGCTCTGTTGAAAAATCAGGCCATTTGACCTGCCATGTGTCCTCGACCTGCATCTGCTTTCCTCTGGTGCGAGTCAGCATGAGTCTCTGTCCCCGGTACTTCCAGGAAACCTGCAGTGGGTCCAGAGGCCTGACCTCGCCCAGGGCCCAGTCCTTTGGCAGGACTAGAGCGTCTGGACATTGGCCATGGCTGACGTTAGCTGTCACCAGTGCCTCTCTGTTGCTTCCATGCTGTTTATAATACGCGGGGTGCCTTTCCCATGTCTTAGCTCTTTCCCCTTGACTGCGTCTGTCTGCGTCTCTTCGCTTGCCTTGTGTCTTGTTCTGCTGGGCCTTGATGCCACCCGTGCTCCTGTGCATCTCATGAGGTCCCAGTGCTGGAGCTGGCGCTGGCCTCCCTCTGGCCCGTGCCACCACCCGCTTTTCCCAAATTGACTGCATGCTTTCCAGGGCTTACTCCTTGTCTGTTGGGGCTCTGCTGCACTTGACCTGTCAGACACCCCTGTGCCTGCTGCAGCGCAGGTGCTGATAGCCCTTATGCCTTGGGGCTTGGCAGCTCCCCTGGGGGTTTGCGAGTGTGTACCTCGTGTTGCCAGCACCATACACCACCTCTATTTTACTGGCTCATTGCTGTTCGTACCTGAGGATTCAGGGAAGCCACAGCCACCCTGCCACTACCATCTCCTAGGACGATTTAGGGCAGGAAGAACAAAGACAGGGCTCAGTCCACCAGAAGTCAATGACCAGCCGAGGTGGAGAATGGTCGAGGCGGTGCGGCCTTGCTCATAAGGGGACGGGGTGTCAGGAGCCAGAGCAGCTTGGGAAGGTGACAGGTGACGCCTGGGGTTGGCAGGAACATGAACTGATTTGTAAGTGGCATCGACACAGCTGGATTTTCGGGCAGCAGAAACTACAGCTGGGTTCCCACCTCCCATCACACATAGAAATAGATCCTAGGTGAATTAAACCTGAAAACTGAAACTTGAAATACAGGAAATATAGAAAAAAATAAAACCTTAAAATATAGGAAATAGAGGGAGAAAAATATTTGTAAAGATCCCCCCAAATTCACACAACCCATTGAAGAGAAGACTAGTAAATAGGATTCCATCAAAATCGAAACCTCGGTATGGCCTTACAAGGCTAGAAGGGAGAACTGCGGGGGGGCCCGTCTGGTGGGGGGGCCCGTCTGGTGCAGGGAGAGGCTGGACACCAGCCTTGGCTGGAAGGCCTTTCTCAGAGACAGAAGGGATGTGGCAGCAGCCGATGAGAGACAGTAAGGGTGTTTTTAAAGTGGGGTATGGCTTTGCATTGGGCAAAAATGAAAATATTGATAAGAGGAAATGGGGTTTCCATATGCTACTGGTGGGGATGTTAACTGGGGCAGCCTCTTTGGACAATGAATAAGGGTGCATGACTTCTAGCTACAGCAAGCCACCAGGCTGTGGGCGGGATGTCTGGAGGGCACGCTGCTCTGTGGGGTGAGCTGGGAGGTCAGTACGCATCTGCAGGGCAAGGCTGGCCCCAGGGCAGGACAAGGTAACCCGGGAGATCTGGGTGGACCGAGGAGCAAAGGGCAGCAGTCCCCTTGGCCTGATACTCACGGGTCATGCGGCTCCTGCAGGTGAAGCCCTGGGGACAGAACAATGAGATGGGGTGAGAGGTCAGCTCGGCCACCTCCTGCCTCCCAAAGCCAGTCCTGGGTGGGCCTAGAGAGTCCCCAGGTGGGGCCTGGGGCATTGGCTCCATATGCCCTGGTCACTCAGTGAGCAGTGTGACGGGGACCTGTGGCCCTCAGGCCCCACTGCCCCCGACTGCATGCTGGACGTCTGACCGCACCTGCTGCATGTCTGCGGCCAGCACACAAAGCACCCCCACCCACCGTTCATTTGTTAGGTGAACCTCTTAGGCCCTGACAGGGGCCGGGGTTCACAGAGTAAAGAAAACAGGGCAAATGTCTCTGTCTTGGAGGGGCCTATGTCCTGAGACGGGAGACCCAGAGACCGGAAATGTAAGATGTCAGAAAACCACATTTCTTGTCTGTCGTTGCGAAGTGAAGTGATGGGGAGAGTAGGGGTGTCTCTGGGGTGTCAGAGGGCCTCACTGGGAAGCGAGTTCGTGCCTGTGAGCCATGCGCATCTGGGGAAAGGGCGGAGACAGCCTGGGAAACCCTTTCCCACCTGCTGCTCCGTGAGAGGGGATTCTCGCCCCCACCCCAACCGCTGCCTGACAGAGCAGATGCGCAAGGGAGGGCACTGGGCCAAGACAGGGGGCATCAGAGTGAGGGGCCAGGCTTGGACAGGGGCCAGGGGAGGTGGCTTGAGGCCCAGCCTGCAGACCCCACTTTAGTGGGTGGACTGCGGGGCCCCCAACTAAGCTTGGGAGAACAAGGTCGGGGGCGGAGTTCTGGGAGTCCATTGGCAGCCCCTGAGGTCCACCGCAAACCAGACCTGCCCTGGCCGCTCAGCCACGACACCACAGGGCATTGAGGGCAGCAGCCACGGGGGCCCTGCTCCCTTCCCCAACCCCAGCCCTCGGGACCCAGGAGGCTGGGACAGTTGGGGTGGGGGCACTGCAGACAGGGACCTTGGGGCTGCTGCCGGCCGCACGGGTGGACCACGGGGGGATAAAAGTGGGGTCCGGTTCTGTGACCTTGCGGAGCTCCACCCTTTCTAAACAAGCTTTTATTTTGGAATAATTTCAGATTTACATACGCTGTGGAGACAGTATCGAGTGTTTTCCCAGCGTCCCCTGATGCCCGCACCTTGCAGAGCAATGGGGCCTTGCTCTGGCGCTTTGCTGCTGGCTGACCTCCAGACTGTAGGACCCCACCCGGTCCCCCCAAGGCGCTTTCCTGCCCCAGGCCTCACTAGCCGCCCCAGGCTGTTAGCCTGCTGCCACCACCCGCTGCCTGGCCACCACCCCTGCTGCTGCCACAAACCCAGCTGAGGCTGGAGAGACAGACTGGACTGTGGACTGACCCCCGCAGCCCCGCCCGCGGCCCCTGGGGCAGGCAGAGCGGCAGTGGTCTTGGACCCTTGGACCCCCGCTCCCTCCCGCGGCCCCTGCTGCTGGGGACCCCCCTCGGCATCCTCTGCCTGAACCCCGCCCCCGTCAGCTCCAGGAGGGAAAGAGGACCTAGTGGGGGTGGCTTTCAGGAGCCCCAGGGGTTGAAGGGCGGACCTGTGTCCTGGCCACTGGGCCCTGCTGCCCACCGGGGACCACGTGCTCATCCGTGTTCCTGACGTCCGCACGGCGGGGCACTGTGGTCCCCGTGGGAGCCTGTGGAGAGCGGGGATGTGGTCTGGGGGCTGGCCCTTCGCCGCCCAGACCCCCTCCCCTCTCCCCTCGGACACAGGACAGGGACCAGCAGGGGCCAAGGCGGGGTCCAGGGGGCTCCTGGGGTCAGTGCCCTCAGGGACCGCGGGCCCTGGCAGCTCTGGGGTGGGGGAGGCGGGGCGGGGCGGGCCGGGTGCCCTGGGGCCCTGCGCGGGGTGGGGGCTCAGACGGAGGAGTGGCTGCCCCCACCCCGGGGTTTCCCAACGGGCTTCCCGGGGCTTCCCGAGGCGGGCTCCGGAGGCGTCTTTGGGGCGGGGTCTGCGTGCCCACTGCTGCCCCCGAGGGGCCCGAGCTCCAGCCGGAGGGCAGGACCCGGCGTCCTGGGTTCGCGCCCGACCTCGGCTCCCCGCCCGCCGCGAGGGGCGCTAAGGGCGGGCGCGGGGGCGGAGGCGGTCTGCGCGGGGAGGCCCGGCGCGCGTCCTCGGGGGCAGGCCTCGCCCATCCACCGCCTCATCCGCCGCCCCAGGCCCCTGCCCCAGCCTGTTTCCTCCTGGGCATCTCCTGCACTGTGGTCCCCTCTCCTGTGCGCGCGGCGCTCACTGCCAGGTCAGCAGGACGGGCCTCCACGGCGGGGTTGCCAAGCCCGGAACAGCCCCCGTGGGCACGTGAGCCGAGGGCCTCGTGCCCGTCCTCTCCGGCTCAAACCCTGCTGAGCGGCCGCTCCGTCCCCAGCGGCCCCGCCCCAGCTGCGTGCCAGCCGCCCGGCCTTGCTCTGTCTGCCCCTGCCCCCACCGCACCCTTCCCAGCAGGGCCCCCAGTCCCCAGTCCTGCCAGCCTCCCCTGCGAGGTGGACCCCAAAGCACCGGCCTTCCGACTCCATCCCCACCGCGGGCGGGTCCAGGCCGCTGCCCGCTCCCACCTGGACCTGCTATTTCCTCCGCACCCAGGGGTTCCCCCAAGCAGCCAGTGGGAGCTTCTCCTGGTCCCTGCACCTCTGATCGGAGCATGGCCCCCCAGCCTCTGAGGGCCTGCCTCCCACCCCAGCCACTGGAGTCCACTCTGTCCCTCGTTGAGCTTCCTAGGCCCTCTGCTGGACATGCTTCCAGGCTTTGGGAAGGAGGGCCCAGCGTCCCCAAGTGTCCCCCCAGGGTGCTGCTCCGGTGGCACATAGGAGCCCCTCATTTTCTCCTCGGCATCACGACCCCCACGTGGTGTTTTGTTGTGTGCTGTCTCCATCCAGAACACAAGTCCCTCGGGTCTGGGGCTGCATCTCCTCCCTGCGGTGCCCACACCTGGAGCCGTGCGCACAGCCCTGTCCCCTTGATGCCTTCCATGTTCTGTCTGCCACGTTCCTGCTGTGCCCCCACTGCCAGACACCTTCCAGGCTGTGCCCATGGTGCCAGGCAAGCCTCCGGCCCTGGGGGAGCCTGGGATGCAGGCCCATCTCCGGGCAGCTGCTGCTGGAGCACCTTCCTCAGGTGAGGCTGAGTCCGTGAACCCCGGGACACCACCGTGTCCAAGCTGCGACCTTGCCTTGTGGCCCTTCCTCCCGCACGCGTTGAGCACCTTCCTGCAGCATTTCCTTAGCCAAGTTTGCAAGAGCCCAGCACCGCCTGGAGCCTGGTGCCCGGCGTGAGGCAGCACCATTCAGCGAAGCCACGAGGGGCTCTCGGTGCCCTGAACGTGGCCTCCCCGGAGCGGGACACCACCGTCTCCCAGCAGGGACGTGGCACCGACAGAGCATGGAAGGTGTGGTGAGGACAGGGGCTGTGGCATGGCTCCAGACATGAGGAGCGGGACGGTCAGTGTGCCGGCTCGCTGCTGCCCCACGGGCTCCCAGCAGATCCTGGAGCAGCTGCCAGCCAGGCCAGGCCCCTCGCAGGAACCCCTAGGCCCCCGAGTCCTGTCTACCCTCCATCACCCACTGCCCCGGGCCTTCCACACCCTTCGTCCCTGGGCCTGTTACTCTAACTTGTGTGCTGGGGGTGCCAGCACCCACCTGCAGAGGACCCAGGACCCCCTCAAGATGAGCACCTGGGGGTGGGGGGACTGCTCACCTGAGAGCAGGAGAGGCCACATTCTGCAACCTGGGGGATGGCCAGGCCCTGGTAGGTGTTCCAGGCCAGGTAGATGAGCACGACTGCTCGCCCAGCCAGCATTGGGTGGGATGGGCCGTGGAGTGTGGTGAGGGGCAGGCTTGCAGGACACCCCGTGGCGGCTGCTCTTGGCCTTCCCAGCCTGCAGCTCCGGTCAGAGACAAGTGGGAGAGTCGAGTGAGCTTGCTCCCCAGGGCAACACTCCCCACCCTGGTGGAAGACTGCCCAAGTGGGCCGGCCACAGCCACAGCCCACAGCTTCCTGCCTGGGCCCGGCTCATGTGCGGGGCCTCTGGACTCTGGCCAGATGCCCATGGGGTTTCTAGGATGCCAAAGGAGGTCCCAGGTAACCAGGTTCCCGGAGGGACTGACTGCTGCAGCAGGGTGGCTGTGTGCCTGTGGGATCAGGGAGCTGTTCTGAACACCCCAAGGCTCCTGGGTGTACCCCCATGTCTCCGGCCCCCATGCTGATGGTGGGGGACGGACCGTAGCTAATGAGCTGATGGCCCTGGTTGTCAAGCTCAGTTGGGCCAGCAGAGGATCAGGAGCCGTTCGGGCGCCTGCATCTGAGAGCCACGGGCTCTGGCCCGGACCCCCGAGAGAGAACTCCCCTGAATCGGATCTGGGACTCTGCCCCAGGTCCCGAAGGCCCCGGTCCCCCCTCTGGATGCAAGAGGCTGCCACACCCTGTAACTCTGGGGCCTGGCTTTTGCTGGGGAATCACCCTGAGTTCCTTTTCGCCTTTGACCCTTTCTCTGTGTAGAAGATTCCAAGCAGAGGCCCAGGGTGTCCCGCCCGCCTCTAGCCCCGGCTGGTGCATGTGGGACAGTGGGAAGGAGGGAACTGGGTGTGGATCTGGGCCGGGATCCAACTAATGAATACTGACTTTCACAACATACCACGTACTGAAACAATTCCAGGTAGAATACAGATCTGAATATAAAAGGTGAAACATTGCAACTTTTAGAAGAAAACAGAAGTGACTGTTTTTTTTACTTTGGGGTAAGGCAAAGATTTCTCAAAGAGAAAACAAAAACATGCTAAGAAAAATTGATGTAATACATTGAGATGGGTTTATGTGCATCAAAACATGCTATTGAGAGCAAAAGGCAAATGCTAGAACAAAAGCCAATAGTTTTACACCAAAGAACTTATATCGCAGAATAACAAAGAACTTCCAGAAGTCAATAGAATAGGCCCACAGAAAAATCTGTCCAAATACAAAAATGGTGCTGTACAAGAGTATTGTTCGAATGGACCGTAAGTATGAGAAGATGTGAGCCGCCATAGTCATCGAGGAAATGCAAGCTGAATCTGTATGTGGATCCACTGCTCATCTACTAGAAGAGTGAAAATGAAAAGAAAGAACACCTAGTGCTGCCCACAGGGCGGAGCGACTGGACCGCTCATGATTCGTAGTGGGATGCGAGCTGCCACGGTCGCTTTGGGAGATCCCTTGGGAGTGTCACTGCCAGAGCTGCATTCATGACCCATCCGCTCCATTCCTACAGAAAGGTACACACATGTTCAGCAGGTAAAGGAACCTTCTTGGCAGCCCTGCTTCTACTAGTCTGAACACAAAACAATGCAAATGTCTCTCAACAGCAGTGAGAATAAAAAGTTGCGGTTGAGAATGAATTTTAACTACATGTAAGAAACTAAATTCAGCCACATATCAAACCCCCCATCAAACCAAGTTGGAGTCATCCCTGGAATGCAAGGTTGGTTTAACATTTTTTAAATGATTGATATATTTTTTTAAAAAATCATATTATTCACCACTAATATTACAGAGGAGAAAAATCTCATGGATGCAAAAATGTTTTTGAGAGAATTTACTATATATTCTTGATAATTCTTAGGATTAGAAAGACACTTCTTTAATATGCTAGAGTGTCTATATGTTTAAATCTATATTTATATCATATCTATATCTTTAGAAAGACCTAGAACACATGTCATTATAAATGAGGAATTGTTACAAACATTCCCTTTAAAATCAGGAATTCAACAATGGTGCCCGACAATGTGTACGAGGTCCTAGCCAGCACAATAAGGTAAGACAAAGAGACTGGAGACAACAAGATTGAAATGCAAGACAGAAAGCTATTTGCATGTGATACATAATCTATGTAGAAAACTCATAAATAAAACTCAAACCCATAAACAAAAAGACATAATATAAATTTTTAGAACTAATGAGTTTAGCAATGTGGGGGTACAGACAATTAATATATAGAATTCATCTGCATGCTATATACCTGTAGCAAACAATGAGGAAATTTATAGAGATGACATCATGTGCAGTAGTATCAGAATCTCAAGTAACTATAAGTAATCTAATCTAATCAAAGATGTATAGGATCTCTATTGGGAAAATCATAAATTTAAAAAAGACCTTAGTAAATGGAGAGAAATATATTCATGAGTAAGAACATATGACTTCATTCATTTTACAGTTTCCCCTAAATTGATCTGCGGATTCAATGCAAATCCAACTGAAATTTCAATAGGACTTTTTGTGGAACTTAATAAAACAATTATGACATTTTCATAGAAGAGAATGAGGCCACAAGACTAGGGCCCCTTTGAAGATATGCAGAGAGAGGAACTTGCCCCACCAGATATGAAGAAAGCATGGCACTGGTGAAGGGGCACAAATTCACCAGTGGAATAGAACAGAGACTCCAGAAATGGACCCAGAGATGTGCAAAGCTGAGATCAGTTCACTGGGAGGAAGAAAGGGATCTTTCAATAAATAACTGAAAAAAAATAGTAATCCACTAAAGAACAAAGATAAAATATGATTATTAGCTTATACTATATATAAAAATAAAGTTCAAATGGATTAGGACTTATGTCAAAGACAAAATTTGAAACTCTTAGCAATAAATGTAAATAAATCTTTTACCTAAAGGAAAAATTTCTTAAGATAAAAATAGCACAGACTAAAAAAAATAAATAACTTTGGCCACATTAACATTTGCAGCTGTTTGCCTTTTAAAAGCTGGAAACACAAATCACGGACTGGGAGAAGCTATTGACAAGATAGTATGAGCACAGATAACCCCATAGAAAAATGGGCAAAAGATACAAACATGTATTTCCCAGAAGAGGAATTCACTTTACCAACAAAAACATACTAAGATATTTAACACCATCACTGAAATGGAAATCAAGATCACAACAAGACACTTCTTAAGTCCATTTGTTTGGTGAAAATTAGAAAGTCGTATGCCTCACAGTGTTGGGGATTCTATGGACTCACAAGATCTCTCACACATTCTTGGTGAGAGCAGAAACTTTTAGGCACTTCGGAAAAACAGTTGTTACCTCCTGAAATTCAGCGTTCATGTGTCCCATGAGCCAGCAATTCCATCCTGGATAGATACAGCATCTACTTACAAGAAAACTTGCACACATGTGAGACATGTGTAAGAAAGTCCCTACAGTCACTGACCACAGAAAAAGCCCTGGAAACAACTTAAATAAACACTCACTGGAAAGTGGATGGATAATTGTAAAATATCCTCACAAATGGGCTGCAATGACCTACAACAATACAGATGAATCTTAGCCGACTGATATTTGGTGAAAGTGCAAGTGCCCTTAAACAATGAAAGCAGCTGCGGCCTCTCCCTGTGGTGACGGACATGGCCTGCGGCGGGGTGCGGGGGCTTGATGACATGGGTGACTGCAGTGACCACGGTGGTTTTCACGTGAGGCCTTCACAAGAGTGTATATCAATGACACCTTAATAAAAAAATTAAAAAGAGTAAAATCAACTAAAATTAAAAATCTTTTAGGGAATACATACAAATGCAATAAAACTAACTAGAAAGCGGAAAAGGGAAGGATGAACACAGGACTGAGGAGAGTGGTTATCTCAGTGGGAGCTGCAGGGAATGGAATGGGGGCCGGACGGGTGGGCGTAGGTCACCACTCGCAGGCCCTAATCACCTTATTAAAACTGTAAGTGAAAGCGGGCCATGCGAGGACAAGTGACGAGACTGCATCATGAGCCAAGGACTAAGATGAATCGGGGACGCACACCTGAGATGAAATGAGAACAGTGAGTGAACAAGACCCACAGCACAACAAAGCAGGGAAAGATTATGACAGATACAACGTCTGTGAGGAAAAGGAAAACGCAACAGAGCTTTTCTGAAAAATCCACATAATCTTCAAAGATATTAACAGATTGACAGAAATGTTAGCCAGATGGCTGGATTTAAAAACAAAATCAACTCACAGAAGTCAGTTCCATTTCTATCAACCAGGCACAATTTGTTTAAAAAAAAAAAAGAAAAATTTGATATGACTTAGGATAGAATTAAAAAAAACACTTGCAAGACTAAATCTAACAAAAAAAAAGTGTAAGACCAATACAAAGAAAATTCTAGGAGTTTTCTGAAAGATATTTATGGATAAACGAGAGAGATACCATGTTCACAGATTGTAAGACTCAATGATGTAATGGGTCCATTCTCCCCGAATTGATACATGACTTTAACTTAATCTCCATAAGAGTTTTTTATTTCAATTTTTTTTTTGGTGGCTCTTGATAACCTGATGCTATGACTTGTATGGAAGTACAGGAGCTCGAGGAGCCAAGTCATTTCCAAAGGAAAAAAAATAAGATTGTAGGATCTGCCTGAACAATATGAAGACACCTTGCAAAGCTACAGTGATGAGGACGCTGGCCGTGGCCCAGGGCAGATTGACAGACTGATGGAGCTTGAAGGAAAGTCCAGAGACACTGCAATATGCCTGCAGGAGCCTGCAGATGTGTACGGGAGGGGCCTTCCAACAAGCTGCCAAGTAGAAACGTGCTTGGGCCCCACCTCACACAAGTGCCAGGTCAATTCTGGGAGCATTAAAAACAAATGATGAGCAACAGCAATGCTCCTAGAAGATGCCACTGGAGATTATCTTCACAACCTCAAGATAAGGACATAATCCACAGAGATCACCAATCACGGAGGAAATGGTTGACCAACTTGGGTTCATTACAATTAAGGTAGCTTTACATCAAAAGACAACATAAAGGACTGAAAAGACAAATCACAGCGTGGGAGACGGTATGTGCAACCCAGTCACCTGAAAAAGGAGAACGCAGGGCTGACACCACTCCTAAAGGACAGGCAGAAAGAGACCCACAGCTCTGCGGCGACGAGACACAAGACACGAGGATCCTCTCAGGAGAGGAAGCCTGAGTGGCCACGCGTGTCTGAAAACAGGCCATTTCACGGGCAAGTAGAAAAATGCCAGTGACCACACCACACGCTCTCAAGCGGCAAAGATGAAGGCGTCTGTTGCTGCCATCAAGGGTTGGCAACAAGGGGAGCCGCAGACAGGGTCATACCTGGGTCAAGCACGATACCACCCCCCCATGCCAGCCATGCCCGGCGCACTGGGTTTAATGGTCCCCCCGGCTCACGTCTGCTGGGAGCCTGTGAATGCGACCTGGTCTGGAACTAGGTCTTGTAGGTGCAGCCAAGTTAAGACGAGATCACACTGGAGGAGGGTGGAGAGGGACATTTGGAGCAGAGACACACAGACAGCGCCACCTGAGGACCGGGCGCCAAGCGCTAACGGCAGGACCAGATGCCAAAGAGACAAGGAAGGGGTCTCCCTTGGGCCTTCCGGGGAGCACGGCCCAGCTGACGCCTTGACTTGGCCTTCCGGCCTCCAGAGCCACAGGAGAGTGAGTTCTGTGGCCAGACCACCGGCTTGTGGTTTGGCACAGCAGCTAACACAGTTAATGGTTAAGCTGAAGCTGTGTGGCCCTATCGATGCCTCACTCCTGGGAGATGCCAGTAGAGGGCCACATAGACAGCTCCTAATAGCAAAAATCTGCAAATGACCCTTACGGAGAGGCGAGCTGCTCAGTATGGGACTGACAGGCCTCAGTGGCAGATTGGACATGGGGTAAGGAGGGTGGGCACGAGTGGGCATGTCCCACAAGGGCACTGCTGCTCTGAAAGCATGTGGTCCTTGGGCCCAGAGCGGCAACTCGGGGGTGACCATGCATGCGTTCAACCAACAAACATCTGCTGTGCACCTACTCTGGGCACGTGCCACCCCAAGTGCTGGAGTGGGGAAAGCAGCAGTAAGGACCTGTATGGGCAGCTGGCAGCTGGGGGAGACAGACGCCCAGCAGACAGACAGGCGGGCCAAGAGGCTGTCGGTGCAGGAAGGGGAGGGGGTAGTAGTGATGGAATAGGGCCTGTTGAGGAGGTGCGGGCACTGGATAGAGCAGGACAGGGACGGGGCTGGCCCTGCCTTTCCTCATGCTACCCTCCGGGCCAGGCACCATGGGAAGTGCCCTGGTGCAGAGGCTCGGTGCCGCCCCACACCTGTCTGCCCATGTGTGTACCCAGGCCTAGGAAAGGTGCCAGGGCCATGTGCGGTCAGCTCAGAAAAGAAACGTGTGGACATTTCAGAAAACAGGACACAAGAGCCAAGCCGTCTCTGGCCACAGCCTGTCGAGGGCCCTTGGAACTCAACCCCCGACCCACAAGGCACCCCACCCGGAAGTGAAGCAAAAGCCGTCACCCGCCGGTCCTGAGGAGGGGACCCTGGTGCTCAGCCAGTCCCCAGAGCCCCGGGGGGGCAAGACCCCCACCAGCCCCACTGCTTGGCTGGGCCCAGGATGGGGCCAGAGCGCCCCCAACCCTTCCCTGAGCCCAGGCTGGCTTGTGCGCCAGTACACACCCTGCTGAGACCAAAGGAGCTGGAGGCCTGGGCAGACGCGGGGTGAGGGCTCCCTGCGCACCTGATGGCCCGGCCGCTGAAGCACAGCGGCCCCCCGTCTTCACGCGTGGGAGCGCCGTCGGCAGTGGGCATCTAACAAGCTTGGACCCAAGAGTTTGTCAGGCTCGGCTTTGATGAGACCAGTTTTGGGGGCCTTATTGTCTACATGTCGATAATTATAAGTGGGGAACTCTTATCTTCCCGGCAGACTCGGTATGGACAGACCTGACGTCACAGCCCCTCAGCCGAGCTCGCTGAGGGCACAGGCAGGGGAAGGAGGGACCCCTCATCCTTCAGGTCCTGCTGGAGGGCCGGCTGTGGGGGTCCTGGCGCCAGGTCTGGCATGGCCAAGGAGCGCCTCACTTCTGGTGGCTGAGTGTCCGAGATGGAAGATGAAAAATTAACTTTGGAAGTGGGAGGCATTTGCTTCTTGGCTTTCTTCACGCCGACACCTTCCACGCGGAGGTTGGCCCTGTGGACCGGGGACAGCTCCACGGCAGGCTGGGGAGAGGAGGGCAAGGTGAGGGGTGCGAGTCAGAGGTTGTTCCTTTTCCCGGGTCTGCTGCCAGGTGGGTGTAAGGCCTTAGAGAGAAGCACCAGCCACAATTCCCAATGGCTGGGCTCCTACTGGGTCCCTCCTCTAGGGAGGCCCAGGCACAGGGTCCCAGCCATGAAGCCATGTCACTGGCAAAGCCACCCGCCAGGCCTGCCGCCCCACCTGCAGGAAGAGTACCTAGGGGGGCAGGACCCTGAAAGAGGGCAAGGCTGCTACCCACAGAGAGAGTGGTGGGCGCTGCCGACCAGAAAGGAACAGCCTAGAAGGGCCCAGGCCGTGCTAGCCCTGCCAGCCAAGGCTGGGGGCAGTGGTGTGGCAGCCACAGAGCTGGTGGTGGCCGGGGACAACACGAGGAAGGCTGGACCCCAGGGTCCCGAGTCAGCCTTGTGCTCAGTTTGCGTGAGGCAGGTGCGCCCTGACCACGGCAGTGGGCGCAGGTGCCTGGCGCTCAGGTGGCCCCTGCAGAGGGTCTGCTTTCACGTGGGCTGTGCCCCCAGCTCCTGGCCAGGAAGCAGCAGTGCCCACCCACCTGTCTCCACAGCAGCTCGAAGTTGCCGATGTCACAGCTGCGGTCTGTCCTGCGGTCCACCACCACCTTGATGGTGTCCACTTGCACCTGCGCACAGAGCTTAGCTGTGACCGGCGTGGACGCGCGCATGGTGGGGCTGGAGTTGATCTCGATCAGCCAGGGCTTGAAGTCTCGCCCCAGAACAAAGTCGGCACCGTACAGCTCGAAGCTGTTCCTGCGCGGCTCCACGTGGTCCTGGGCCATGCGCATGACCTGGACGATGGAGCGCTTCATGGATGGGTAGATGACGCCGCCCCATACGGCCCCGCGGCCCCGCTTCTGCAGGTACTCCTGGAACCGGGTGCTGGTCCACATGTTGTGGCGTGGGAGCAGGGGGCTGCGGTCCTTGTCATTCTTGAGGCGCTTCTGGATGGAGTTGTTGCACAGATGGACGGCACTGCCAGGGGAGGGCACCATCAGGTAGCTGCCTTCCCGGACCCAGGCCCCACCTCTGGACAATGCCCTGAGATACCCTCCTACCTGCCTCTGAAGCCCTGTCCCCCAGACCCTCACCCCATTCTGTAAACCCCACCTTGACCCCACTCTGGACCGTGCCCTCTGACCCCGCCTCTGGACACTCCTACCCCACAGAACCCTCTCCCCACCCTGCTCCCCACCCCAGTCCCTGCCTACCTCCTACCCCACAGACGCCAAGCCCTTCCCTGCCCAGCACAGGGCAGCTGCCAATCAGGTCCCCTTCCTGAGGCAGCCTTGGAGCACCCCTCCCAGCCTGGGGGCACCATGGGCCGTGGGGACAGGCAGGAGCCCACCAGTCAGAGCCACCCCCAGAGGGGTCCTGTGAGCACAGCCTCCCCCACCTCACGTTCCCCATCTACACACAGCAGTGAGGTGGGCCCTCGAAGAGTTGGTCTGATGAGACAAGGTGAAAAAGATTTTTATACTCTTGCCTCATTCTAAACAGCATTTAAAATGAATAAGATCTAAAAGATGATAAACTTGTATGGCTCCTGCCACTGCGATGTTCATTGAAATGTGTCACTGGCCCTGGGAGTTTGGCCTGGGTGCCGAGCCTGCAGCAATCAGCAGATGCAAGGGAAACGCAGCCGGACACAGCACGCAGGAGGGTCTGGAGACAGGACGGGGGTATAGGGTAGGGGACCCACAGAGCTGACACCACACTCTGTCGGTTTTGTCCATTTGTGCGAGGTGCAGCCATGCCTGCTTCAGAGGCGATTTCTGGAAGTGCCCTGTCAGCTCAGGGTGAGGGCTGTGGCCCCAGATGGACAATCAATCAGGGTACAGAAAAGGTAACCGACGTCCTGGCCGTGGGGCCGCTCCCTGCCCAGGGGGCTCCTTGTGCACCGTGAGCTCCGGGGCCTCTCCACCCCCCCTGGCCTGGTGGGGACAAACTCGCTCCTGGAGCTGCCTGCCAGGACCCCTTCTCCCCAGCGGCCTGCTCCTGCCCAAGTGGCCTGCCAGGCATGACTCTGGTGTGGCCACACCCTAGCCCAGGGACATGGCTAACCCTCCAGGTGCTGGTGAGCCATTCTCAGGGTGATGCTGAGGCTGCCCCCAGGTTCGCTGAGTGTGCTCAGAGAGCAGAGAGCCGGGAGCCCTTAGTCTGGGCAGCAAGGAGGCGGGATTCTCTGCTGTGAGGACGGCAAGTCTCTGAGGCCCAAAGACCAGCTCTCACTGTCCCCACCAAACACATGCCACACCGGACTCTGGTGAGGTGCCGGTTCACCTGCCCCAGGGCCCCCACTCCGGGCTGGCTGAGCCTCTGCCCGGTACCCCAGCACCTCCACACAGCACCTTCTTCACCCTGCACCAGGGGCCTAGTGATCCAGGGTACTCCAGACCCTTCATCCTGCCTGGCATGGCTGGGGTCCTCAGGGTCCTGCCTCACAGCCCACAGGCTGCCTCAGGGGGCGCTGCCCTGCACCCCTCAGCAGCTCTGGCAGCCCCCTCACTCATTTGCAGGGTCCCTACCACAGGGCTTCTGGGGCTCACAAAGAGAAGGCCCTGCAGGAGCTCCTGGAAGGTTGGGGGGCTGGCACAGGCAGACATCTGCTGCTCACCAGCTGTCCTGGGGGCCTCCTGGAGGTGCCCTGGTCTGTGTTCCTGGTGGGCCCTGAGAGAGCAGGACAGTAATGGTGTGCGACCATGGCCAGCCACTCAGCTCCCAGCAGACGGGGCAGCACACACCGTGCAGGGTGGGTCTTCCTGTGGCTGAGGCGTGTTAAGCCTTGGCCATGCCTGGCACCTAGCAGGCACGTGGAAAACGGTCCTTTTAGGACTTTCTGGAGAAGGCACACATTGTGGGGTGCAGAGCACCAGCTTTGAAGGGCCGTGGGCTGGGCCTGTCTCTTGGGGAGGGAAGCCTCAGTTTCCCCATCTGTCCGTCACATGGTGACCCCCCACTGACCTGTCCAGGCTGTCCAGGGAGAAGCGCTGTGTCGAGAACCGTAGGTAGCTCTCCTTGTAGAACCAGATGGTCAGGGGGTTCCAGTCAGTGACCAGGAACCACTGCCTGATGTCAAACTTGGTGTCGTAGATGAGCAGTGGTGTCTCTATGTACTTCTGCACCACCCACTTGGCCTTGGTGGGGAGGTCGTCTGCGGCCACCAACCCCAGGATGTCCTCCATGCGGTTCATGCACACTATGTCTGCAAGCATTCACCACTCAGCCCCGAGCACAGCGTGCGTGATGGAGGCTCAGCCCTGAGACCCAGAGCGGCTTTTCTTGGACCAGGAGGCGGTGCAGCTATGGGCCGGGCAGGTAAGGCTTTGCCCTCAGGTCAGGGCCCCGGCCAGTGTGGCCCCCAGGCCCGGCCCCCAGGACTCCAGAGCAGACCCAGAATGGGGAGGGGCTGGGATGGGGTCAGGGGCACTCTCAAAGGCAGCCAGCATGCAGTGGCTGAGCCCCGGCCCTGGGGGTGGGGTGGGCAAGGGCTCAGGGAAGCCAGCAGGCAGAGACGAGCTGTGTCCCAGAGATGCTGGCTGTGAGGGGCAGGCTCCAGGGACCCTGGGTCCGGGAAGGCCTCACACTCCAGGATGATGGAACGAATGGGGTGAGCCAGGGCAAGGGCAGCCAGGGTGCACCAATGTTCACCCACTGTTGTCAGTCCTGCTTTTTTTCCTAGTTTATTATTTCTCACCCTCACCCCCTGCAAAGTTAGGCCACACTGGTAGTACTGATCTGGTGAGGTGCCGGTTCACCTGCCCCAGGGCCCCCACTCCGGGCTGGCTGAGCCTCTGCCCGGTACCCCAGCACCTCCACACAGCACCTTCTTCACCCTGCACCAGGGGCCTAGTGATCCAGGGTACTCCAGACCCTTCATCCTGCCTGGCACGGCTGGGGTCCTCAGGGTCCTGCCTCACAGCCCACAGGCTGCCTCAGGGGGCGCTGCCCTGCACCCCTCAGCAGCTCTGGCAGCCCCCTCACTCATTTGCAGGGTCCCTACCACAGGGCTTCTGGGGCTCACAAAGAGAAGGCCCTGCAGGAGCTCCTGGAAGGTTGGGGGGCTGGCACAGGCAGACATCTGCTGCTCACCAGCTGTCCTGGGGGCCTCCTGGAGGTGCCCTGGTCTGTGTTCCTGGTGGGCCCTGAGAGAGCAGGACAGTAATGGTGTGCGACCATGGCCAGCCACTCAGCTCCCAGCAGACGGGGCAGCACACACCGTGCAGGGTGGGTCTTCCTGTGGCTGAGGCGTGTTAAGCCTTGGCCATGCCTGGCACCTAGCAGGCACGTGGAAAACGGTCCTTTTAGGACTTTCTGGAGAAGGCACACATTGTGGGGTGCAGAGCACCAGCTTTGAAGGGCCGTGGGCTGGGCCTGTCTCTTGGGGAGGGAAGCCTCAGTTTCCCCATCTGTCCGTCACATGGTGACCCCCCACTGACCTGTCCAGGCTGTCCAGGGAGAAGCGCTGTGTCGAGAACCGTAGGTAGCTCTCCTTGTAGAACCAGATGGTCAGGGGGTTCCAGTCAGTGACCAGGAACCACTGCCTGATGTCAAACTTGGTGTCGTAGATGAGCAGTGGTGTCTCTATGTACTTCTGCACCACCCACTTGGCCTTGGTGGGGAGGTCGTCTGCGGCCACCAACCCCAGGATGTCCTCCATGCGGTTCATGCACACTATGTCTGCAAGCATTCACCACTCAGCCCCGAGCACAGCGTGCGTGATGGAGGCTCAGCCCTGAGACCCAGAGCGGCTTTTCTTGGACCAGGAGGCGGTGCAGCTATGGGCCGGGCAGGTAAGGCTTTGCCCTCAGGTCAGGGCCCCGGCCAGTGTGGCCCCCAGGCCCGGCCCCCAGGACTCCAGAGCAGACCCAGAATGGGGAGGGGCTGGGATGGGGTCAGGGGCACTCTCAAAGGCAGCCAGCATGCAGTGGCTGAGCCCCGGCCCTGGGGGTGGGGTGGGCAAGGGCTCAGGGAAGCCAGCAGGCAGAGACGAGCTGTGTCCCAGAGATGCTGGCTGTGAGGGGCAGGCTCCAGGGACCCTGGGTCCGGGAAGGCCTCACACTCCAGGATGATGGAACGAATGGGGTGAGCCAGGGCAAGGGCAGCCAGGGTGCACCAATGTTCACCCACTGTTGTCAGTCCTGCTTTTTTTCCTAGTTTATTATTTCTCACCCTCACCCCCTGCAAAGTTAGGCCACACTGGTAGTACTGGTGACATCTGAGCACTAATGTCACCAGTATGTCTCCCGCCCTCCCTTTCTCTGCTGGGACCTCCTGACGCATGAGGGGAGGGGTGTCGTAAGATGGTGGAGGTACTTTGATGGGCAGACCCCCTGCCACCCTCCTGTGCCAACCCACAATAGACAACAAGCGTGAGTAGAGACAGACTGGGCTTGAGAACCACCGAGGTTTGGGAACGGCTGTTCCACAGCATGACCCAGCCCCTCCTGATGGGAGCGCTGTCTGCAGAGGCCCAGAGCCCAGGACGCCACACACAGGAGGTGAGCTCTCTCACAAAAACACAAGACTAGTGTCTTCAGTCATAGCAAGGTGAGACCTTGCCGTCCTGGAATGAAAGCCTAGGACAAAGTGACAAACCGCTGAAGTTGTTCTGGGCCAAGAGCAGGAGGCACTTAGATGCCAGGCACAGCCAGTGACCGGGCAGAAAGAGGTGCATTCCATTTTGAACAGGTGGGTTTGAGGTGTCCATGGAGCAGCCCTGGGGAGCAGGTGTCCAGAGTGGGGGAGCAAGGTCTGCCTGATGGATGGGAGGAGGGGACCCCTGCACACAGACGCCACTGTCAGAGGAGTGCGCTCAGGACAGAGCCCAAGGGGCGCACCGGCCCCACCCAGGGAGGGCGGTGCTCGGGCAGCAGGCGGGAGCTCAGGAATGAGAACGTGTTAGGACTGAATGCAGTAACATCACAAATTAATAGAGATTTTTAAAAAATCACATAAAAATTAACTACTTATAAACTTAAAACAATGAAACAATTCAAACAACTCAAGGGGTGAATGGAATATCCAAGCAAGAAATAAAGTCTAGACACTCAGGAATGTCAATATCATATGACATAAGCAAGAAGTTGCAGCTAAGGCCATATTTGGAGGAAATTTCATAGCCTTACAGGCCAGTTTAACTTAAACAGCAAACCTCGGAGCATGGCTGTGTTGGCCAGTGTCATCGAGATGCCCATTCCCCTGGCACCAGGGCCACTGGGCACCTGTGAGTCCTGGCCCCACGGACGGTGGTGTGCAGCCCACTCGGCTGCCATGGGTCCTCACAGGCCCACCCGGCACCCAGGAGGGCCCACCCCAGCCTTGGCGGACTCATGTGCGTGGTGCCTGTCCTGGGACTCACCTCGGCCACGAGACTTGGCTGCAGGCTTTATGATCCAAATGTTGCGGAGCCCGTCGATCTCCGTCTGGGGGCTCACAGACATGACTTTGTCTAGTAGAGCCTGGCACCGCAAAAAGTGATTCCTTGGACTGGGGATGAAAGCGTTGCCGCTACAAAGCAAGTCCCAGAGACCATGTGAGATTTTGCAGGGGCACAGGCCTTGCCCACCTGGCACCAGGCAGGCAGCCATCCAGGAGGGAGGGTGAGGGGTATGCCTAGCACTTGCTCCTGCCCCCATGAGGGACACCTGGGACATGTCCCTGCAAGGCTGCTCCTGGCTGGGGCCATGCAGAGACACGGGGAACCCCGATTCGTGGGCCCAGACTGCACAGACTCCCCAGGAGGACTGGGCCTGGGGCCCGCAAAAGCTGCAGGGAGACAAGGGGGATGTGACGCTCACAGGCCTGTGTGTCTGGAGGTGGGTGGCACCTGGGACAGCATCGCGCCTGTAGGGAGGCCCCAGCATCCTGCCCATGCTGGCAGCACCCTGCGTCCTACAGGTGAGGCGGGCTGGACTGTCAGCCGGATGCCGGTGGCCACAGTTGTGGCAGCAAGGGGGCCGGCTCAAGAAGCCACAGTGACTGAAGGGGTAAAGCCACAGCAGCTGGCAGGGCCGTCGGGTAGGTTTCAGAGCCTGGTGGTGCATTGCTGAAGCCTGGGACGGGGAAACCCGCCCCCTGCCTCAGACCCCCAGGCTACAGCTGAGGCTCTGCGGATGCCTGCACAGCCCGTGGTGGTGGCCTAGCACACGGTTGTCTGTGCACGACGTTCTGTTCACACCTCCTGGGGACGGAGGACAACAGGAAGGGAAAAGGAAGTGGGGGCGCCTCTGATGATGGGCAGTGGCCCCAACATCGTAAGCTGCAGGTGGGGGCAGGGAAAGCAAAGGCCGTCCAGCGGTGAGCTAGGGTGATGGTCAGTGGGGCACGGCTCCTGGTTCTAAGTGGACATACCAAAGGGGACCCCAACCCTCCAGGACTTCTTTTGTAGCAAACATACTCAATCCAACCCCAGATGACAACAGGACATGACGAAATGGGCGCAAGTCCTGTCCAAAGCAGGCCCGTTGGCCGCAGGTGGCCCGTGAGCACGGTGCTGAGACGGGGAAGGGCACAAGAGAGTCATTATGCTGGCCTGGGCCTATGTGCCCAGGGACCAGCGAACTGACGGTGACAGGCCTGCAGTCTCAACTGTGGCTCAGAAGGAAGACTGGTGGCTGGCCCTCCCCAGGAAGGCAATCCCGGGGCCTCGGAGCCTGGGCCCAGCACAGTGCCTGCCCTTGGCATGGCAGCACTGGAGTGTCCTGGGAGTGGCACTGTGGCCTTGCCCTGGAGGGAGAGGACGGAAGGATGGGGGCTGTCCGTGAGCCTGGTCAAGGTGGCCTGGACACCCCAATCCTGAGAACCCGCCGCTCCCCGATGCCAAGATAAACATGCACAGCAGGTCTTTCTGGCTCTGAGACCCACACACCACACTCAGGCCCCAGGCCCCAGGATGGTGAAGAAGGGCGGGACTGTGCTCAGCAGCCCCGGGGCCCAGGGCCTGCACGGGTTTGCTGCCACCCTGTGGCTTCTCCTGGGACTCTTCTCTCTGGTTGTGCAGGAAAACAGTGGAGCGCGCAGCGCCCTCCCCGAAATGCAGTTTGGCAGCCTGCCACCCGGCTGGCGCTGTGAGCACTTGCAGCCTCCCGGGTACACCGTCCCGGCCAGTCCCCACTGCCTCCCGACCCCCACCCGCGTGAGCGCACCCTCCTGTCCCTGAGCTTCACGTCAGCGGAATCGCATGACATGAGCTTGGGTCTGGCCTCTAACCGTTAGGTGCACGCGTGGCACTGCGTAAGTTGGTCAGCAGCTCCTTTCACACCGGTGGGGTGACATCGGGCTGTTGTGAGTAAAGTCCTCCTGAGGACACGTGTTCATTTCTCATAGATGAATGCCTCAGCACGCACAGGTGGGGTATAGGGCCTGTAGATGCCCAAGTTTATGAGAAGCTGCCCAGAGCTTTCCTACACAGGCTGTGCTGACGTGCACTCCCACCAGCTCCACACAGCAGGTTGGTGCTCCAGCCGCCCCCACGCTGGTGGCACCCGTGTCCTCAGCCTCACATCCTGCCATCCCGGTGGGTGTGTGGTGGGCTCTCGTTGCTTTGACTTCTCTCATGCATAACACCGAGCATCTGTTCACATTCCCTTATGCTTATTGGCCACTTGGATGTGTCCTTTGTTCAAGTCTTTTGATATTTGCAATGGGATCATTTCTCTTGTTGACGTATAGGAGTTCTTTATATATTCTAGATACGAGACCTCATTGGCTATGCGTGTTGTGAACCTGTTCCTCCAGTTTGCGGTTTGTCTTTTCATTCTCTTTCTAGTGTTTCTGATGAACAGAATTCTTTAGTGTCCAAAAAGTGTAATTTACCAATTTCTTTCTATTATGGTGAGTGCTTTTATTTATTTATTTTTATTAAGGTATTATTACAACACTCTTATGAAGGTTTCACATGAAAAACAATGTGGCACTACCTTCACCCATATTATCAAGTCCCCCCCATACCGCATCACAGTCACTGCCCACCGGTGCAGCAAGATGCCCCAGAGTCACTATTTGCTGAGTGACTCTCTGCTTTTAGTGAGCTTAGAAATCTTTGCCTTCCTTGTCATGAAGACATACTTTAATGTTTTCTTATTTTTTAACTTTCATGTATTACACGATACATCCCAAATTAAGCTTTGTGCATTTGTGAAGCAGTACTTTTTCCTTAACGATGCTCTTTGCTCAAGCCCCGTTCGGTGGAAAGATAGCCGTTCCTCATTGGAGGAGGACTTTACTCACAACAGCCCGATGTCACCCCGCCGATGTGAAAGGAGCTGCTGACCGACTCACGCAGCGGCACCTTGATTCAACGGGCTCAGCCATATAAGGACATATTTCTGGACTCTGTTCAGTTACACTGGTCTGTTTATTGACTTGATCCCAATACCACACTGCCTTACTTATTGTAGATTTGTAGTAAGTCTGGGATATTGGGCATAAGGCTTCTAATTTTGTTTGGTTTGGTTTTATATACACACATACTTGTTAGGTCATTAATTTCTCTAATTTTATAATCTGTGTCTATGATCTTCAATATATCTTGTTTTATTATTTTCTGGATATTTGCTATTATTGTAAATTGTATTTTTAAAATTCTATTTTATGATTGTTGCTAGTGCATAGAAAAAATGACTTTTGTATATCCAATTGTTACCTAGTGACCTTGCTAAACTCATTTATGATACTTTTTGATTTTTAAAATTTTCTGTGTGCACAGTCAGTAAATAGTTTTACATCTTCTTTTCTGATCTCATGCCTTCCCCCCACCCCGTATTATTAAACTAAATGGACAATTTGGTCAATACTGAATCAAAGTCATGATAGTGGGTATTTTTATCTTTCTGATTTCAAGGGGAACACTTTCAATACATAACCATTAAGAAATACATTAGCTTTAGAGTTTTTCTAGATAAATTTTATCAAATTAGGAAGTTTCTTTCCTTAGTTCGCTAAAAAACCACCTTTGCATCTATGGAGATGACCACACTGTTTTCCTTCTTTATTCTGTAAATGTGATGAAATGGACCAATTGTTTTTTTCTCTAATTTTTTTTTATTGTGGTAAAATACACATAACATAAAACTGATCTTAGCCATTTTAAACATACATGTTAGTGGCATGAAGCACGTTCACCTTCTGTGCAGCACTGCCCCCATCTCAGAACGCTTCATCTCGTGAAGCTGAAACTCTGTCCCCACTGAACACAAACTCCCCATCCCCCATGTGGGGCTCCCCACCTCTGGCACCCGCCATTCTACTTTCTGTCTCTGTGATTTTGACTACTTAAGTACCTCATATAAGTGGAATCATAAAGTATTTGTCTTTGTATGAATGGCTGATTTCACTTATTATAATGTCCTCAAGGTTTATCCATGTTGTAGCAGGTGTCAGAAATATCTTCCTTTTAAGGCTGAAAAATACCCCACTGACTGACTTTTGAATGTTAAACCAACCTGAGTTCCTGGAACTCAAGATTGGAAATCAAAAAATAAAATTGTTTTCAGTCATAGATGACATATCCTGTGTGTAGTGGAAAATCTTAAGGAATCACCCACACATGCTATGAACTAGAACTGATAAGTGAGCTCAGCAAAGGCAGTTACAAGATCAATATAAAAAAACCAATTGTATTTATATATGATCCAAACAAAAAAATCCTAAAGTAGAATTAAGAAAGAAATTCTATTCATTTAAGAAGGAAAGTGCAAGATTTGAACACTGAAAACTACAAAATGTGGTTAGACTTTTTTAAAAGTTCAAAGCAAGCAGAGAAGCACTCCATCGCCATGGATTAGAAGACTCAATATTACTAAGAACGAGAAAATACCTAGAAAGACAGGAAAAGATTAGGATTGGACCCAGCTAAGACAGGAGGAGGGGCTTTATGGGATGATAGAAATGCTCTAATACTGGACTGTGGTGATAGCTGTAGAACATGATGAATTTTCTAAAAATCATTGAATTGTACATTTACCATGAATGGGCTTATGGCATTCAAATAATAATTCACTAAGTGTATTTTAAAAACTTAGGCTGAACTACAATGGAAAAACTTGGATGCCTCCTGCTTGGTTACCAAGATCTATGCGAGCAAAGACTCTCCGGCTGTGAACAGGCCAGATGCTTCTGATCAAAGGCCAGTTACATTTTACACTACTGCAACCCTGACTTGTGACAATGCCATATGGTGGGGAAAATTAAAACTTCTCAATAAATTGTGCCATTTTCAATACTCATATGGAAAAATATATCATGATGCCTATCTAACATCATATGCAAAAATCAACTGTGAATGAACTGTATATAAAATATATTAATGGGAAAATCATGGATATTTTAAAAGAAAACAGTACAAATTCATGACTTGGTAAAAACAAGGATTTCTTGAATACTACTACAAAACATCAATCCTAAAGAGAAACTCAGATAAATTGGATTGTATTATGATTAATGAATCTTCTATCAAAAGACATCAAGAGAATTGAAAAAGCCCATAGAATGGGAGAAGATACTTGCAA